GAGCTCCTGGTTACCCTGAGAGCCCAAGTTCAGGGCTCATCATTCCCACATAACTAAATGCCGACAGCCTTGGGAAAACTGTTCCTCTGAAAAGCAAGATGGGAAACCAAATTGCCATGGATCCAGACCCAGGACCTGTTTAGACCTGCTGAAGATGTCCGTGCCCAGCGCTGCTGGAGGAGCACGGCGGGTGCCCCCCCGGCACCACCAGCCACCCAAACTCTGCCTTCCTTCGGTGGTACCGCCTTCACCCGAGTCAACAGCTTATCGCTGTCACACACCGACAGCTTCCACACCTGCCCCAACAAAGTCCACGCTGGCCAGCTCTTATTTATATTGTCTAAATTAAAGTTCTATAGGCTCAAAAGAGGTGTGGATGCATTTTACATCCAAACACCCTGAAAAAAATAACCAGGAAAAAAAATATTCTGAGCATGCCGAATAGCAAGCAGAAACTGTAAGTATTTTTTTTCCAGGTCTCTACCTTACTTCTGAAATACCACACCAAAATAACGCTTTCAACCCTGAAGGGGCTTAGAGATTTAAAAAAAAAAAAACCCACAAGCTGAGCTTTCACCTCTTGAGCCAAGATGTGCAGTAAATTTAAAGTACATTTTGGGGCTGGTTCATGGGAAGTTATTTTTCATCTCCACACTTCCTGGTTGAAGTAGGGAGAGTCACAGGCATCAAAGCCTCGGCTGTGCAGATTCAAGAGCGTTTACTTCAAATTGCTGGAGAAGGGAAGCAAAGACACCAGGGTGCCTTCAGCACTCACCCAGCACCTTGCTCAGAGGTTTCAGGCAGTTATTTCCCTTGTCTATCCGTAAAGAGAAAGGTAAAGCCTACATATATACTGTGAATCCTCAGAGGAAAGGCACCTTGAAAGCGCAACGTGATGCTCAAAACTTCTAAAGCACCTGGATGCGAGCACAGCCAGCGCTTCCCAGAGCCATGCAGCTAAACAGAAAAGCAGGAGCAGCTGGTTTGGGGGACCCAGGAGTGCAGAAGACATCCCAGGGCACCAAGTCCACTCCTCTGCTGCTGCTGAAATAAACTGTCTTCATAATTTTTCTTATTGTCCTTCGCCCTTCTAGAGCTATTTCACAACCTCTGGCTTCAACTTAATTTATTTATGACTGCCTTATGCACGTTGTTTCTTGTGACTGTGCTTTCATTTTAAGAAGCTCCTTCCTTCCCCTGGTGTTTACAGCCAGCCCCATTCTTTCCCGACTTCATTTTGTTAGGGACTTATCTAAGCTTTCAGTCTCTGCTCAGGAAATATCCTGTTCCCTAATCATCCCTGGCCCCGCTCCAGTTCCAGTTTATCTTTCTCAAATGCGGGTGACTGGCTCTGCATAAACTATGACAGAGGAGATGGCGGGAAGACCTTGTAAACAGCATTAACGCTGCTTTAATTTTTAAGGGAAGAAACTCCCCCAACTCATCCTGGGACCCCGACTCTGTCATTTCCAACCTGCAGCAGAAACCCACAGGTTTAGGTCCCCGACAGCACAAAGTGAAGTACCACACTCGGCACCGCTTCTGTTTCTCCACGGAGGTGGCCGAGACAGACCGGCACCGCTTCCAGCACCACGGATGCTGGTTCCTGCTCACAGCGGGCTCACCAGCGCATAAGCCGCCCAGCTGAGCTTGCCATAACGTTCATACGTAGCCTGCGCAGGCATTTTTAGCCATTTCACAATTACATATAATTAAAATGTTTTTAAAACTACAGATTGTCACGGGTCTGCGTATTTAAAGCAGCTCTCCTTTTCAGTATAAAACGCAACTCTAGAACTCCCAAAGTCAATGACTAATATTAATAATTGTAATATCACATGCTCAACTACTCTACTTACACCAGCCTAGATCTGGCCAGTGCTCCCATGGCCTCCTTGCAAGGTGAAGGCAAGGCAAGTCTGCAGGAAGGCATGCGAGGAGCTCTAAAGAGTCATTTTTTGAGCAATATGCAAACCCAGAAGGCAGCGACTACCAATTATCATCTTCCGTGGCACGTTTCCAGAAGCAGTAGGTGTACTGCTGGCCAAAACCCAAATCTAATTATACAGTGTCCACCTACTTCTAAATTTCATCTGCAAGTTATTTTTCATGTTCTCTTTATAAAATGTATTGACTAGGGTTACTGGCACAGAACAACCGACGCCTTCTGTCCAAGACCGCATGCATTTGAAGTGTATGACCCAATTCAAATTGTTTTTATTATTTCTCATTATATTATTTGGACAAAAGACAGAATATTATTAACCAAAAGTGTTCCCTGTAAAGAAACAAAGCTAGATATCACATCCAAGTTTTTACCAAGCTTCAATTTCTTAAATCAATGCAGATGGACAGCTAAACCTCCAGGGTCTGCCATCTACCAGAGATGCTTCCTACCTCCCTGCTTTGTTCTAAAATGGTCTTATTTGGGGAGCAAAGATCTGATCAATACCGAGAGGAGCAATGGCAGTGACAAAACAACAGCCATTCCCAGACTGAAGTGCTTGGTTACCTACTGCTTTTCAGTGCCAGAATGGAAATACATTACTCTCAATACCCCAAACCGCATTTGTGAAGGCTGAAGCTATGCTGAAGCCAGTTAATTTGAGAATGCTCTGGTGTTAACAAAAATCAATGCTTTTAAGTCTCAGCCTTCAACAAAGAATCTGATTATTTTTCCCCCCTCAAGTGACTGCAGAAGCATCTTGTTTATTTCACTGCAGCCTGCAGTCCCTTTCCTATCAGATTGATACTGATTTCAACTGAGGCAGAACTATATGAACAGGTTATGCAGAAGAGATTGGGGTGGGAGAAAGACCTCCTAAAATGAAAAAGAAGGATCCTTAAAAATACCGTGAGACATTGGAAAGGAAGTGTTTTCCCCACCGTTTTGCGTAAACCCTATCAAAAGCCGCTCAGTCACTTATTAGGCTGAAAAAAATAAGTCAGTGCAAGACATAAGGGAGACAGCTAATGCCACTTGCCTCCTCTGTCGGCGTCACAATGCCTCTGCTTCCTTGAACACGTGAGTTACACATATGAGTAATGTTGGCTTTTTTTGTTTGAAGGGATTTTGTTTGTTTGAAGGGTTATTCCTACTCTTAATTATTCACTTGCTGCAGTTACAGAATTAACAACTACACATATAAATAAGTCACAGAAATACTTACAGACCAAATAATTATCATCCTTCTAGACACAGAGTAATCCACGTTCCAGTAGATAAATGGAAGGAAAGTGATATAAAAAATCTCTTCACCCAAAGCAGCTGAAAACTTGAATAAGTAGTAGTAGAAGTAGTTCTTCACAATGTACTTCTGCGCAGAACCCTGGAAATGAGAGGATTTTAGAAAGTTTTAGTGAATTAGCAAATTATATCAGACATTTAAGATACAACTGTTACAGTTCCCAGCCCTTAAACCAAATAATTTGTTGGAACAAGTGTCAAGAAATGAAGTTCAATGTTTTAATAATAAAATGAAGACTACAGTGATAGCTCGACTACATTCCCTGCAGATAAGAAACCTATTTAAACTAATTAAGGGTAACAGTCACATTGACAAAGATTTTTCACGAGACTGGATCAGTCTTTCCTCCAGGGAAACCAAGTATATTTAAGAAAGGGTACCAATGTGTTAATTTTGAAGTTTCTACATCTGTACATAAAGAGAGCCACCATTGCTTTCACTGGAAATATGTTTTGAGATGAAAAAGGTAAACCGCAATTACTGAACCATTTAATTTAAAACTTGCCTCATGATAGCAGGCTCAGTAGTCACCGCTGCATGAGTAGATCCGGGGGAAGCAGGCAGAGAGAAGAGCTGCCTCTGTCACCACCAAATTTTCACTCCAATATCTTAAAGTAACAAGAACCAGGTTGTCTTTTTAAACATTACCAGCCAATATATTGCAAACAGCATCAGGTGACGCTGTTTAGGACTTAATTTTATTAAGCTACAGGTTTCACTGCTCTCTGGATTGGGCAGCCAGATGATTGCATTAGACATACCCACCACCTAACAGACTCGTTTTCTCTCTTCTGGGCTGCACCCAACCCGCCGGAGCTGGGAAGCCACACGACAGCATACATTATTAAGGCCATGACTTTGGTCACTTGTGGCGAGCGAGGTTTGCTGTTGCTGCCATTTGGGATTAGCACATCGCTAAGAAGCCTCCCACCCTGTTAGCAGGAGCAACGTGCAAGTGAATCGCATTTTACATGAACACCTCTACACCTCAGGAAAAAGGAGATATATATGAAGAGAGTTTTTGATTTGGGGGCAGAAGCAAAGGAGCTAATCTAGTCTCCCGCTATCTCCCCAAAAAGAAAAAAAATAAAATATGGAAGTTGGCTGTGTAAATGCCAGATGAAAGAACTTCCTAAAGAGGAGAGCTGAGAAGGGATCATGAAGGTTTCAGCACAGACACACTAAGTTAAGATATAGCTTTGACCTAAGTTCCTAAAACTCTTCTAAGAGGAAAACTATTATGCTTGGGCTTGACTGTGTAACTAATCTACCAGAGAGTAATTCTCAACCTATGTGCTAGTGAGAAAATGTAAAAATCATCTAAGAGTCTAGACATGCAATGGTGACTCATTGTAAAAGCCATTAGAAGTTCCAGTCCCTTAATCTGCTTTCAGTATGAAGATGAGGCAAACTGCACGAAGACAACAAAAACAAAATGGAAAGAAGTTGCATCCATTCATCTATCACAGGAAGAAAAAAAAAAACCCAACTTATTTAAATTGATTTTTGCATCAATAAAGAGAAAAGATGAGTCAACGCTTTTGAAGCACTAGGGTCGCAGGAGTGTTCCCCATGTATTAGTAATAGAGGTCACAGATCAGTTACTGGCATCCCTCTAAGGTAATTCAGCAGCGTGCTAAGGCTGGCCCAATGACAGAGCAATCAGTCTAAGTGCTTCGAGTCTCATACGCCACTTAGAAATCACCCCCAGTGCAATTAGCAACTCTGATGCTTCTGTCTGAGATCCTGAAACCCTATTTGGTCACACTTACATGGCCCCAAAGAAAGCTCTCTTCTGGCAATGCTAATTCCTCAATTAAGCATCAATCTCCAATGTATTAGGAATTATGTGCTCGTGTGCTTTAGATCAAAAATGATCAGACATATCCCTAAGGTAACTCTTCTATACTTGGAACCTCATGGGATGAGGGATAAAACTCTCTAATTCCAGTAATCTGTTTTGTGGGGGAAAAAAAAATAATAATTTTTCAGGTTCTAAAAGAAATCTGGAGTTAAAAAAAAATATTTCTGGGCAGTAGGTAGGGCCAAGTCCTTCTGTGTGAGTTTTAAAGCCTTTCTTTTTCTTTCTTCTTTTCCTTTTCTACCAGAAATCACTCCCCACTTGTTTGGGGTTTTTCGTTCGTTTGTTTAACACTACCTTTTTGTTTGTGTTTTTAAACACTACAGCAGCAGTTGTGGCCAGCCCAACATGTGAGGCAGGGGACAGGCAGGTCACACCTGTGATACATAATGGTAACAGCCACATGTTGGCCATTCAAGGTGCCACACAGTCGCTCCACTTGATTTTAGGTAGTGTACAGTAATAATAATAATAAATAAAAAAAAAAAGCAATGTTTTAATTCATTGTGATTGTAAAGCACTGTAAATACAGAAAGTCCACCCCATGCACCTTTGCACCCTGGGCGGTGAGAGGTCTAGGTTGGGTTGCAGGAGTTAGCTCACATTTACTAGTTATACCCATTATTGCTGCAGAAAGAATAGACTGCTGTGCTTCGTGAAGTACCTTCCCTTTTTATTCCTATTCTAACCCCAGGGCAAGAAAAAGCCATCATAATTATTTGCGTGAACATTTAGCGTCTTCTAACACTCTCAGAAGTTTATTCAATCTCTACTTTTAAATAACTCTGATCTTTAGAGTTTTTTATATTTAGTGTACTGAAGTGACCCGACGCCTTCCATGATCTCTGAAGCACTTTCAGTGAGTCAGCCCCTCCATCCACCTCCATTACTATTCGGTCTGGACCAGAGAAGTTTTAATGGGCAGTAATTAAAGCTGTAGAGAAAGTCAGAATTTTAAGAACATTTCAGAAGCAAGGTGTTAAGAAGCCACGACATTTGCAGGCACAGAAGACAGGTAATTTCACACAAATGACCCTTCTCATCAGCTGGAAAATATCTACTTTGAAAAAACTTAACTGCTCAAATTACAAGAGACTCACACATTCATGTAAGTCTCCATAAAATAAAAACTCACCTGAAGTATTGGCACAGAAAATGGCTACTGTAAGCCACCCTAATGCCACAATCTCCACATGCTGGTCACGGCTGTGTCACCCACGCCAGGCTCTGCCCCACGCACGCTCGGGGCTCACGGCACCCAGCCTGCCTCCCCCGCCGCGCCAGCATCCCCAACACCCCCCTGGGGAGCGGGAATGACAGGGTCTGCGGAGCAGATCAAACCACCACCACAGGGACTTTCGGGAGACACTAACGCAATGACACAGCATAGCAGGAATCCATAATTTTAGGCAGTACATACATGAAGAATATTTGGCCTTTATAGCTCAAGTAAAGGAACGGCAGCTGAATCACTGATGTAATAGATTTAAAAATGTATTTTTAGGCAGAGACATACCCCCAACAAAACCAAAAAAAAAAAAAAAGCTGCGTTAAGATACCACTCCTTCCAATTCCTGTAGGATCTCTCTCGTCAGAGCACAAAACAGGCACCAGCTCTCCCTGCCCTGTCTCTAGGGACAAGCTTTGCAGCATCAGACATCGAAGGCTCAGAGCCTGACCCAGAGTTACCATTAACCAACATTTTGTTCTCAGCTTTCAATTACTTCGGCTCTTTCAGAAGACGTGCATGTTTAATTAACGTTCTTGAAGTCCCATGCTTCCCTTCCAACAGAATTGCCTTGCAGAAGATCAGGAATTTCCCTCCCAAAGCCCTAAGTTAATATATTGGGATATTTCTCACTTAAGGGAGGAGGGTTTTTTTATGCTGCAAAAAGACACAAAATTTAGAGAAGCCACCAAAGACCAGGCACAAGAATAAAACACAAAAAATTCCCATCTAGATGCTGCTGTACACTGAGACAATAGAAATCAGACGATGCAGTCCAGCAGTGCAGTACTGAGTGGAGTATAACCGGTGGGGAAAAAAAGCCTTCTGTATTGCAGTATTCTGTATAAGCAGTCAGTTTCATGTCACTTCTATGTTTATGAACTCTACCCAGTTAATAAAACAACCTATCACATCACAACCGAAAATTAGGTATCGGTGATCAGGTTTTGGAAAATAAGAAAAAGCAGAAACCATGTTAATCAAAGGCTTCAGCTCTTCCATCCACCTGCACAGCTAAGCGTCACGCAGTTTCGGAGTTCTCTGAAAATCCAACACGCAGCTGAGAGCAGCCAGTGACATCGCCAGCACCTACGCATCCACCTCTCCTGGGAGCACCAACACTAGAAACTCACTGCTCCAAGATGAAAGACCAGTGTGGCCAGTAAAAAGGGGCTGTGCCCCAGTGGGAGCTTCTGGCCTGGCCACGAATCCCTGGCAGGGAGGGGTTGGGGGGCACAGGAGCAGAGGTGAGGGAGGAGGCAGCAAAGGAGGGATACAGACACACGGAAGCAGCGGCAGATGTCAGCAAGACAGCGGAGGGGAAGGCAGTAGGACACAGAGCCTACAAAATGCACATAAGGAGCCCCAAGGCATGGAAAGCTTATCTAACCAAGCTCATATATATGTGCAGCTTCCCACTCTGTTCAAGCACTTTTAATCAGGCAATTATTTTTTTGTCTTTTTCCCCGCCTCCAGGATGGGATGCAGCCAGTTAACAAGAGTTGTACAGGTTTATATATTGTCCTTGTTATTGGAGAGACCCCTAGAGCTGCCCGAAACCTGAGAAATGTGAGGACGGAGATAAACAAGAAACTCCTCCTTCCACACTATAAAGTTCTGACCGGCTCTGCTATTAGCAGTGAGGGCTTGTTGACTACTACACAAATAGGCAAGGTCCAACTCGCAGCTGTTGTGCACGCATTTATAGTGGCATGCACTAATGGCGTAATGATTAGGGACATGGCCTTGAATCATCGCTTGATGCAGAAGCGAGACAATCTCTGCATGAGAAGTAACAACGTGGGAGCTTCGAGCCGAACAACCGTAATGCTTTCAGTAGTCTCAGGCAAAGAACAAGCGAGGAGTCAAAATCAGGAGGACATCTGGTAGTGTTTCAGTAGTTTCTTAATTAATTCAAAGCACCAAAAAAGGCCATTATGTAAAGCTCTCAGCAAGGTCTTTGAGCAGAGCAGTGCTGCACGGCCAGTGGCA